AGTAAGTACTAGTAAGTACTAGTAAGTACTAGTAAGTACTAGTAAGTACTAGTAAGTACTAGTAAGTACTAGTAAGTACTAGTAAGTACTAGTAAGTACTAGTAAGTACTAGTAAGTACTAGTAAGTACTAGTAAGTACTAGTAAGTACTAGTAAGTACTAGTAAGTACTAGTAAGTACTAGTAAGTACTAGTAAGTACTAGTAAGTACTAGTAAGTACTAGTAAGTACTAGTAAGTAAGTACCAGTAAGTACTAGTAAGTACTAGTAAGTACTAGTAAGTACTAGTAAGTACTCAGGAGAGACCCCTAGTACTAAGTAGTAGAAGTAGTAGTAGTAGTAGTGGTAGTAGTAGTAGCAGTAGTAGTAGTAGGAGTAGTAGTAGTAGTAGTAAGTAGTAAGTAGTACGTAGTGAGTAGTAAGTAGAAGTAGTACTAGTAGTAGTAGTAGCAGTAGTAGTAGCAGCAGTAGTAATAGTACTAGTAGTACTAGTAGTACTAGTAGTACTGGTAGTACTGGTAGTACTAGTAGTACTAGTAGTACTAGTAGTACTAGTAGTACTAGTAGTACTAGTAGTACTAGTAGTACTAGTAGTACTAGTAGTACTAGTAGTACTAGTAGTACTAGTAGTACTAGTAGTACTAATGTAGTTGTATGTATTTGTATTTTTTTCTTTGTATGTATTTGCATGCTTTTGCATGTTTTGTGTGTATTTGTATGTATTTCTAGGTATGTGTATTTATTCATATGTATTTGTATATATATATATCTATGTATTTGTATGTAGTTGTATGTATTTGTATGTATTTGCATATAATTGTATATGTATGTCTATGTATTTGTACGCATTTAAAAGTATGAATGTATGTATATGCGTATGTCTATGCCTATGTATATGTATATGTTTGTATATGTTTATGTATTTTATGTATGTATGTATGTATGTCTGTATGTCTGTATGTCTCAAGTCTGTCTGTATGTCGGTATGTATTTATGTATGTACGTGTGTACGTTGTACGTATGTACGTATGTACGGATGTCCAAATGCCCGTGTGCCTGTATGCCCGTATGTACCTACTTATGTACCTATGTACCTATGTACCTTTGTACCTGTGTATATACCTATGTACGTATGTACGTTTGTCCGTATGTCCGTATGTATGTCCGTATGTACGTATGTCCACATATGTACGTATGTACGTATGTACGTTTGTCCGTATGTCCGTATGTATGTCCGTATGTACGTATGTCCACGTATGTACGTATGTACGTATGTACGTATGTACGTATGTACGTAGGTACGTAGGTACGTAGGTACGTACAGGTACGTAGGTACGTAGGTACGTAGGTACGTAGGTACGTAGGTACGTAGGTACGTAGGTACGTAGGTACGTAGGTACGTAGGTACGTAGGTGCGTAGGTACGTAGGCACGTAGGTACGTAGGTACGTAGGTACGTAGGTACGTAGGTATGTAGGTGCGTAGGTACGTAGGTACGTAGGTATGTAGGTACGTAGGTACGTAGGTATGTAGGTATGTAGGTATGTAGGTATGTAGGTACGTAGGTATGTAGGTACGTAGGTACGTAGGTATGTAGGTATGTAGGTATGTAGGTACGTAGGTACGTTGGTATGTAGGTATGTAGGTATGTAGGTATGTATGCATGTATGCATGTATGCATGTATGTATGCATGTATGTATGCATGTATGTATGCATGTATGTATGTATGCTTGTATAGATTATACATTCAAGCTTCAACTGTTGGACCATTAGAGCTGGATGTGGAGCCTTCAAGTCATCTGTAAGATTGACCTTCAAAAGACATTCTCTGAAATAAAGCCCTGCAAACGCTACCAAATTGAACTGAGCTACATCATCCCAATGACCAGGTGCAACAACACATTCACCACTGTTCCAGGCACCCGAAGACGTAGTCCTCACAAATCTTCCCAATTCCATTTCCTTCGACAAAAGCTGTACAGCTTCTCTTGACAAACAAATACCTGTGCCACCATTGAGGAAAACTCTTCCGGGCTGTTCATGCTTATGTCCGTAGTTCTCGCGTCCAATGGCCCACAATTCTGAGGCCGAAAAATTGCGACATGCCAAAATACGTCGAAGATTGGGAGGCAGGAAAAGGGTGTCTGAATCCAAGCGGCAAACCACATCGGGCATTGCACCCTCCATGAAGAGCCCAGCAAAGCGAAAGGCTGCAAACATCTTTTCAATTGTATTTGGCTCTGTTGGCTTGCTTGATGCAGTTGGCTGATCTGTGGGTTGTGAATCTAGGCTGATGTCAAAAACGTCCCGCAAGTTGATAATCCGGTATCCCCTGAAGTGTGAGGGTGGAGCGAATGGAGAACTGATGAAGAACGTGAGAGAGTCACAATGCTTGGCGTATGTTTCAGAAATCATCCGCATCCTTTCCACTTCCTGAGGAAAGATTGTCAGGACCAAGCACTGGATATTGGCACCATTGACTCCGTTGACTCCGTTGACCCTTTTCAGTCCATCTGCTGATTCCAACGGTCTCTCTTGGGGCTCTCTCGCTCTGTCCCGTTTGCAGCGAAGCGGGCCAGACGCTGGCAGCCAGTGGTCTGGAACTGGCACATGAAGATGCCAAACTAAGGTCAAGATTCGTTCATAATTCTCAGAAACTTCTGCAACTGGAAAAGCCCAGTTATCCTTACAGGGTGACTTTTGCACGATGGGTGCCAAATCCATAACACTTTCCAAGTTTGTCAATGCAAAATTTTCCTGTCCCGGTTCACCCATCCATTTAAAGAAGCACATTATGCCATACACGTAGTGGCCAATCAAACATCGTGTTCCACGACCTCGCCGCTCAATACCTCTTGGGCATGGCACACTCCACAGATTTGTTTTGGCTGCCACCTGTCGGATAGGAAGATTTGCCTGGTGTATTGCATTCCAAATCTGATGGCCATAGCTTCTTTCGTTCGGCCATGGCTCCTGCTCGCAACCCCAGCACACTTGGTCAGCGGCCTGGTCAACACCTTCCCACCAAGTGCCCCGCTCTTTTAGTCCAGCGTTGACTTTGCATTCCGCATCACATTGGGAGTCAGCAGTCAGATTCGCCCAATGCCAAAGACTGCTATCTGCGGTCATATCAGTCAGCTATTCAAAGCAGGTTGACACTATCCTGATGAGTCACTGAGAGCCAACTGAAAGTGAGCAGCTGGCAAGCAAAGTGTCCGAAGTTCTGGAGAAAAATGTCAAAATGGTGGTTTCTGAAAGATTGGTTAATTTTAGCACAAAAGCTACACTCTGCAATTTTGAGAAAGGCATATGTGATTCAGTTTTCCTTCCCAGTTTAGCTGCCAAATCACTGACATACATATAGTCCCTTCACCGCACATGTCTTGGATTTCTGCCCTGAGAAGTACAGGGAGTCTGTGACTGTGAGGCGCTGAGGTACCAAGCACGCTCACAGTTTGTGACAATGGCATACGCACCAACGTCCTGAGAAAATGCAAAAGCTGGTTTCATTTTGCTTCCCATTCCCTTGAAACGAAGAGTATCCCTGGATAGCACAAGCAATTGCAAGCTGCACTGCGTCTCCCGGATGGGATCGTAAAGAGGACTCTCTTTTCCCTGAAGTACCAGCGCAATTGCCTGGGACGTCAGCTCGCCATTTCGGAGTTTGAAGGTCCCATAGATAAATAATATATATATGTATACATATGTATATATATTCTTATATACATGTGTATATATATATATTACAATTATAATATTATATATATACATTACTATTATATAATATACATATATGATAAAAGTATATAAAAGTTATCAAGCACAGGCAAGCACAGTCCGGCATGATGTGAAGCTGTCTGACTCACTTTTCCAGGCCTTGGCAAGATGCCCCAAAGTCTTTTTCTCAGCATCAAAGTGGTACCACTGTCGGAAAGTATCATCCTGTCCATCAATCCACGGTGTTAAGGATACATTATGTATGCCTGTCTGCCTGCCTGCCTGGCTGCCTGTATGTATGCATCAAAACACATACGTGGCAATTAAGTCCACATACAAGTCCATAGTGTACTTTTCAGTCAAATGATTGAAGCAACAAGTGCGCAGCTGCCTGCATGTCTTTAGATGGGTGATATGTCTTCTCACCCCTCCACTGCGGCATTGGGTTCCACTCCTGGACAGGAAGAAACAAAGTTTTTGTCTAATTTTGTCTTTAATTTTGTCTTGACTCTAGTTGACTCTAGACATCTCTAGACATCTCTAGACCTGTTTCCAACATTGTTGGCTTGTGAACCTTTGGCTGTTAAAACCGTTTCAACTTTTCAGCTGTCACCCAAGCATTTTGGGACCGCTTATGATCTGCAATGTCTGCTGCCCTGAAACAGGCTTCTCCAATTCGTCAAATACCAGTAGTAGGACATAACAACTGTAGACCCATGGAAACTGAGTACAAGTGGCAGACTAAGTGGCCAAAATTAGCGCTGCTTTGGAATCGAATTTGCTCAGCAAGTTGATGCCATTTTTCCCTTGTCCTCCAACTCGCTCGAACCATAAGGCAGAATGATGGCTGGTTCTGCAGGTTCCTGAGTGTGAAAGTTGCATCATGGCAGGCCCCTTTGACAGAAATATGAATCCAGATTCTGCTGGTATTCAAGCATCACGCTACTTTTATTCGCACCCACTCGTTGTGACGTCGTGCGTCCATGTTTCACGTGAATGGCTCAGCCAATTTCATTCAAGTTGTTGTTTGGACTCTACCGTTGGCCTCACTCGACCAGGATCAGCACAGGAAACGGTTGATGCCACGTGAGTGTGACAAGCACTGGTGGGCCAACTGTTGCAACCCAAAAGCATGGTACATGATGTAAAGATGTTGAGCGCAAGTTACGTTTGTGCTCCTTGCACGTATGCGCAGCGTGCAACATGTTTTGTAGGAGATACTCCATCATATCTTGGCTTTTGGGATGCCTCGCGTCTACAAGTTCTACTCTAACCCGACAAGGTTTTCAGATGATTTCAGTATCTTGGGAGAAAGACAAGAAACAAAAGTGGCGTTTGCAAAGTCCCAAAGAGATGCGCAGCCAATGCAAAGCCTTCATGTGGTGTCTGTGTACGTGTGTGGCTGCGTTCTGGGGGCAGAGTTAGAGCAAAGACGCATCAGCATGGTTCTCTTGTCAGGCTCAATTTTGGGATTGGTTTAGCTTTGGTATGCTTTGGTATGCTTTGGTATGCTTTAGTCACTAGTCACCTTGCAAAACGTCACCTTGCACAACGCTCGGCAAAGGTTTGCTCCAAGGAACGTATTCTGGACTGTCCCTTGCGTAGCGGTCTGGAGCTATTTGAGCGATACCACGGCGGCAGGTCAAGCCTGACTGTCGGGATTTTAATGGGTACCAAAAATAGAATCCCGAAACCCCGACGTGAGAGAAACATCCAAAAAAGAATAGCCTAAACTAGTCTAAACATCCTAAATAGCTATATAAGAGATCTCAAAGGCATCATTGTCTTCACGGCTTGCACAGCTTGAACCAACCTCTGGGCAACTTCTCGGCAACGACAACGCTACCTCGACACTTCGGTAATTAAAAGTGTGCACAGTTTCCAGAAGGCCTGCAAGTTCCTCGCACAGTTTCAGCACTGCAACAAGACTCTCTTTCGCCCTGAGAAATCACCTGCAGGACGTTGCAGACTGTGGACGAATGCCTTCAGGGCAGGATGAATAAGATTGAATAAGCATCTAATAAGCATCTAATAAGCATCTAATAAGCATCTAATAAGCATCTAATAAGCATCTAATAAGCATTTAAATAACGAATCTAATAAGCATTTAAATAACGAATCTAACACGTGAAACAGTACAGAAGTGAAGCTGTGAAGCCATGAAGCCATGCTCCGACCTCACTCCAGTTCCAGCAAAGT